CCCCAAAACCCCAAAACCCCGAGATAAACAAATAGTTTATTAGAAGTTTATTGAAATTTATTAAGTAAAAATAACAAGTTTTAAGGTCCTCAAGGTAATAATCTTAATTTACAATTAATCTTTCTGCTGAGACCTCAACGCTTTTTAATGTAGTATCCAAGAAAGTTTTTGAAATCATTATCGTAGCCATCTTCTTCGTCAGATGAAGAATCTTCAAACATTGTAGCTCCATCTTGATTAGCGCTAGAGGATATAAAATCTCTATGAAAAATTTCATCGTTATATAGGCATGATGACTTTTTTATTGATTTTTAGTTGTTGCTAATAGCCTTTGATTTTAGAAAATCACTTCTTAATTTGCTAGATTGCTCATCTGAATCGTATTTAAGTTTGAAATTATTGCTTTTATCCATCATGTTCATAATTTCCATATTATCTACAGTCCTTATTAAAGAAAAATATCTAATCTTTTGCTATTAAGCCTTTCTACCATATATTGCTTAACTATAGAATAGGTATAGTATCGTAATTGCGGTAAAAAAATTCATAAGACTTTCGAATACAAAGACATATATGGCACTAAAGGTGAAGTTCTGCAAGAATTCTACCTTCCATATCAGGATTGGAATCAATTTACTCATTATTGTGTCAAGGTATTGGATAGTTATTAGAAATAGAACCCACAATACTATTAGTTTAAATTTTAAACAAGGACTTTTACCCGATCTCTAGAATCTGTCCAATCTTTGATTGACAAAAAATATAAACTAGCTCATAATTAAGTAAGCAATGATTGTATCAATAAGTTCTCTAATGATAAATACTGAAATTAATACTTAGTTATCCAATGCATCAAAGAGGGGCCTATTCAAAAAGATATAAGGTCTAGTTATCAAATCTTAAATGATAGAGCTTGCTAACATTAGGCATAAATATGTAATGAATATTATATTCCTAATTACTACATTTTTCTTCAATGCTTTCTTGAAATTTTCACAAGAATCTATTTTAACCTTTAAGTAAACTTATCTCATCTCGAATACAAAGAAAATGATGAGAGACTTGAATAGGAAGGTTGGAATCAATGAAAAAAATGATTCTAGCCAAAATTAGGTCTCAGTTGGAGGAATTACTCGTTCACCCTCTGTTTTATAATTCTTATGCCAAGAATAAGTAGTCATTCCGAAGTTTACTATTAGTACTGCAATTGTAGTAAGTGAAGATTTATCAACTTTAAGTCTAAACTTGAAGAGCATGATTGATGCCAACGTGGTAAAAGCCAAAAAGATAAAAATGTTCAATAGCATTATTGGGAGAAGTAAGTCTTAGATGTCCATTTTCAATAATTATGTTTTCTTTATTTTAATATTTGATTGCTAGATTAATTTTTTCACCCTTTAAAATATATTAATAAATTGAAAAGATATATTAATATAATTAATATTATTTAGTGACTTATTTTTCCTAAAATAAATCTTTAAAAATTTATCATACTCAATTCTGGGGTTTTGGGGTTTTGGGG